GTTTCTAAGCTGGGCTGGGCTGTCACCAATATGCTGATGACACTCAGCTGATGGATGGCCACACCGACTCGGTCCCGGACACACTGACCAGATGCTTGGAAGCTGTGGCTGGATGGTTTCGTGGGAGCCGATTGAAACTAAATCCAGAGGTCCTCTGGCTGGGTCGGGACGGCATGGGGATGAGGGACCAACTCCCTTCTCTTGCGGGGGCCCAATTAGTGCCAGTGCCTTCCGTTAAGAGTTTGGGTGTAATCCTTGACAACTACCTGACATTCAGAAGACATCTTAAGGCAGCCCTGTTCAGGGAAGTTTTTAACGTGTGATATTTTAGTGTATTTTTGGTTTCTATGGAAGCCGCCCAGAGTGGCTGGGGAGGCCCAGCCGAGGCGGGGTATAAATAATAAATTATTATTATTATTATTATTATTATTATTATTATTATTATTATTATTACACTATACCTGGAGGTATCACATTTTTGTATTTGATTTTCAGCTCAAAGATCCTTGGATCTAACATCTGCTCAAGGATAGCTACAGATGGAAATCTCCACTTCCTCTGCAGGGAGAGATGGGTCTGACTCACACTCATGCAGCTGTGTGTGTGTGTGTGTGTGCTGAGATTCTGCCCAAGTGTGGAAAAAGAGCAGGAGGAATGAGCCAGCAGCAGACTGGTGGGTATGGGGTGGCAAGCTTCATGTTCCTTATTTTTCTGTCCCATTTGGGGGCTGGGAATCTCTGGGCTCCTGTACCTGGCCCATGGGGTTCTCCCCAGGCCCTGCTGTACACCCACTTTAAGTGGATTTGCCTGGGTGGAATGTGTTCTAAACTATGATGACGCCTCTTGCTTGCCTGGATGGATGGAGGATAAAGGGGTGGTTTTTTTGCATGGCTGGAATGCAACCAATGGTACAAAAGTAAGTCACGCCTGTTGCTCCGCCCACTTTTTGCCTCCAGCCCCGCCCACCACTGGCATGTGGCCCTGGGGAAGTTTGACTGGCAGGGAATGTGGACCTTGGACCAGAAATGGTTCCCCACCCTGCATTATATACACAATCCTACCCTCTCTCTCTCTCTTTAATGCTTTATTGGTTTCAGAACTGCATAACAGAAATAATCAATAGATTTTAACAACAAAATAAAGATAAACATTCATTCGTTCCTTGATTGCTGCTTGTTTTGTACCTCATTCTATACTTCAATTTAACATGACCTCCGATCTTCCCATTATGTTCCCAAGTTAGATTCCTTGGATACACACTTGACTTTATTTTCTCCTTATTATATAACTTGTTTTTGATTTTTCCAAAACTGTCCTATTCACACACAGAAACTCAGTCGATACCTGCCAATGGGTTGATATTTTGAGAATGTTCTTTTACATAGACTCTCTCTATGTATCCCACTCTCTGGTAAATTTTTTATCTGTAACATTTCGTAGCCTTGCTGATATTCTCTCTAATTGTGCATACGCTCTTAACTGGTTTTGCCAGTCTGATTTGGATGGAATAGTTTCTTCCTTCCAAATTTTGGAATTAAAATTCTGGCAGCAACTGTAGCATACATAAAGATTCTCCTGAACTTTTTTGGTATTTCATTACCCATAATTCCTAGCAGGAAGGCTTCAGGGTTTTTTTGGGGGGGGAGAACATTTAAACATTTTCTTAAATTCGTTGTAAATCATTTCCCAAAATGTCTGACAATCCTACCCTATCTCGATTTCTTCTCTGTTCAGTGGCCAGGGATCAAACAATCCACATACCATGCATGACTCCTGTATCCAGCACTTTAGGGTGCCAGGTAAAGATGCTCTTGTTCACCCAGGTGTGTAGCTTTTAGTTGGACCCATATGCTATGATGCTACCCTAGCCTGTATTGGTGTCCATCTTTCTAGATATAGGGTAGCATCTGTCCTTTCTATGCTATTGCAGGATGAGCACTTTCAGCCAATAACACACTTCTAACTTTTTGATGTATTTTAAATTGCATATTGTGTTTACCTTTATCATCGTAAGTCACTTTGAGACATTTTATGCCAGGCATAGGCAAACTCAGCCCTCCAGATGTTTTGGGACTACAGTTCCCATCATCCCTGACCACTGGTCCTGTTAGCTAGGGATCATGGGAGTTGTAGTCCCAAAACATCTGGAGGGCTGAGTTTGCCTATGCCTGTTTTATGCAGTAAGCCACAAATGGATGCAATAAATAATAATTTGCTCTTACGATCTGCCGATTAAGGCTGTGCACACGCTCTTGTTTGGTCAGTATCCTGTGCCAGGATCTCACCAACAGACCGGAAAGCAGCACACACATCAAGTTAGCTATAATCCATATCTATCCTGTCATTTCTTTGGGAG